CTCGAACCTTGTATCTTAGTTTTGCAAGTCCGTAAACTTACCGCTGTTCCCCCGGTGGACCGCTATAAGAGCTCCACAAGTTTTACATATAGTTGTAATCAAAACATTTGGAACAAAGTTGTCTTAATGATACAATACAACCACCGGGTATGCCTATATTACTAACAATACAACCACCAGCTATATCTATATTGCTAACAATACAATCACCGGATATATCTATATTACTAATAATACAAACACAGGATATACCTAAGTTACTAACAATACAACCAACGGATATACATATACTGCTAATAATACAACCACCGGATATACCTATATTACTTACAGTACAAACACTGGATATACCTATGTTACTAACAATACAACCAGCGGATATACATATACTACTAATAATACAACCACATTTGGAACAAAGTTGTCTTAATGATACATAAAATAAATGCCATTGTATAATAAGTAGTGCTTATTTAGATATAACAGATTGAACAAATATGTGAATAAATATACAAACAGTATTTACCTCATAGACTAACTTAACAGATCTGTTCACGATTGTTAAAGTTTCTTACTCCTGTCAAATTTAAACGTTTTTTCCTTCATTTCCAGTGTCCTGGCCACATCCTAAAACTGACACTGACCGGGTTATTAACGAGCAGACATTGAAGATTTCATGCATTTCTTCTCATCAAATTGCTTGTTTTTCTAAGATACAGCTTTCGAATGTAAACATTTCACTCGTGTATCCGTTGTGTATGTTTTGTGAATTAATTTTAGTTGAGTTATACGCAATGCCGGTAGACATTGCAAGTTCAGATTGCGAGTCGAGTGCCTTAACCACTTGGCCATGCCGAGCCACTAAGTTAATTAAAGAAACCTTCAATTCTTAACAAACATCAGACTTTTTGTAGAGGTGTAATATCGAGAAAATGCTCTGTAACTTTCATCGACAATTCAGTTTTAATGTTTTGAATAAAATTATATATTATTTGTTTGTTTTTAATGTAAAACGGTAACCTGCGCCCTGTCCATCGCGGAGAATCGAACCCCCAGATAGTAGAATTGTAGGTCCGTAAACTTACCGTTGAACTATCAAGATACATAAAATTATACACTTAAATGTTATTACTTATAGATAACTTTTCTGTACAGCAAATAGGCAGTGAGTAGATCAGTTATTTGGGTAGTTATCTAATAGTTACAGACTGGTGACACACGGATCTTTACTAATTCAAAACTTCTTAGCTGTTTTTAGACGTAATTTAGAAACCGAGTCCTACAACAATTCCTAGTTTCGTTTTTAATACTTTGAAATAGTGGAGTAATAATTCTTTAAAGTAAACCAACACGTGACTAATTAACTTTTGTAATGTTTCATCCTCATTTGCTCTGCAATCACAGTCCATTTAGAATTAGTGTACATCTACTGTAAATGAAACATAATTATGATAACATTAACTACATTTAGGCTTACGTTTAAGGCTAACAGTATATTTCGAATAGAATTTACTTGGCAATCGTTTTTTTTTTTCCCCAGCTTCGTTCTTTTAACAAGTAAAATGGGAATAAAAATAATTGTTGCTTTACTGAAATAATACTTCAAATACCATGCAGCTCAGAAAAGTAACCTAAGAATACGATATGCATTTTTTTAGAGATAGGAGTGTTGAACGTACAGAATAACGACTCACCCATTTTTGACAGTTACTTCCGTTTTTGAATGATTAAACTTACCGAAAATTGAGAAGAATACAGCTCTATAATGCGACTCAGCCTTCTTTGAGGGTCGATTTCTGGCTGGAACGTTGTATTCAAATCTCACCGAGTTAGAATACTGACCAATAACTAACAGCCTTCGCTACATGATCAATATAATTGGCTTGTCTCTTAATAAGTCTTAGGCAGGTGAGAATAAAATTATTGATTTTATAGGAAAAAAAATATTGGGAAGTGCCTTGAGTAAAAATACGTAAACACGAAATACTTAAATTAGAAGTAATTGTGCAATAAAATAAAACTGAAATATGTACATACGAACGAAATTCACTTTATGAAATCATGTATCACGATTGTGGTGCACGTGACCTATTTCATGCTATTTTCTAATGTCTATAAATATATGTTGTACTAATTAAGAGGTATTTGTAAAAAAATAAAAAAGTGCAGTAGAACCTTATGGTTGATCAGATAAAAAGGCCATAAACATTGTTTCATTCGATTTGGTTCTTCCCTCTAACTTCCAAGTTTAATCTACTGTCCTAATGTTTGTAGATACAACGCGGTTGTTGATAGCCTCTCTGATCTTTTACTGTTATACCAAATTTTAGGCTACTAATCATCTTCTATCATGTATATTTAGGCCCGTATTCGTCCCTTGTGGTATGCTGGACAATAATGCCCGATATTTGTGATATTCCAAGGATAAGCCTTGCACATAGTTACTTAATCGTCGCAATATCTGGATATTCAGGATCTAATATGTAGAAGGTTTGTTTGTTTTTATTGTGTTTTTTAGTGCAAAGCCATACAATTAGGCCCGTACGTAGAATATTTGGAAGTGGGGGGCGATCGACTTTGCAAGATCGAAAGTCAACGCATATTTTGCGAAGCACAATCAGCATGCTAATGTTACGGGAGTCTGTGTCATGCATTCCAGAACATTTGTAAAATATTGGTGCTACGAGATTAAATCTGGAAGCAATTTTGCATGAAATATAGCTTAAACAGTTGCATGGCTGATCACATAAAATCTACAAACATCCAATGAAAAGTTAATAAATCGTCATTCTGTTGTAACACTGCATGGGGAGCTAGGCTTAAGTTAGCATAAATATACAAGTTTTATTATTGTTACGTCTCTGTGTTCGTTCGTTAATTTTCCGTAGAAATTCTTTCCGAGAAACTTCAGCAATACGATTCCTTCCTTAAATAAAACTAGTTTATTCTTTCTCAATACAACTTTGCAATACACTTAATTTCCACAGTCAGTTTAACTTAAACAAACGCTATAATTCACAACGAACGATTCACGCGCTTGACTCAATTGTCCGTCTCTATCTCTGTCTGCAATTCAATTCCATTGTTGCAGTCACTTCTTGTCTCTTCTAGAAACTCATCACTTGTTGCCACGTCACGCGACTTCCGCTGTCGTAACATTATAATAAAGTATTGTACTATCGACATGCAGAGTAGTTATTAAATGTTAGATTATATTACTAATTTAACTAAGTCTGGGCAACGATAATATATTAGTTATTTTAATCATTGGCTATTATTTAAGTACTTGTATGAACTACTGAAATAACACGTTAGCATACTCCATTCTTCTGGGGGGGGGGTGCTTTCCCATAAATAACTTACAGTTTCAACGTTGATAGCAGTGTCATGATGATTATGTATTAAAGCTAAAGCACTCAGTATTTCTTCGCTTTGTGTACAACTCGGGTAATTATTCAACATGAACTTAATGGAAGTGTGGAAAAGAGTTTCAGTAACATAAAGATATTTGGTACACTGAAGAAAAGAATTATTTAAATCTCCGAATACAGCCGTGATAACCAACAGAAAAACGAACATTTGTATACATGTCTGACTGGTATTAATATATCATTTTAAAACAAGTTGATTGTGTTGATATTTGTATATTAGTGAAACTGGCAGAAATACCCACCCTGTGGAAGGCTATTGGGCCTGCAGCCTTTTCTGGAATTGTCTGACAGTTCTACAACAATGTCCTCATACTTGACATTCAATAACGTTCACCATCCACGAGAAAAATGTTTTTATTGAAATTGTAGATGCAGTTATTAATGAAAGTGCCTTGCTTTTCTGTTGCAACACTAATGAGATTTTCACTAAAGAAAAACAAATTATTTTTTTTAAGTTTGGTTTTTGATTGTTTTATATTTGAAAACAATCCACATATAGTGTTTGCTGAATGAATAAAGAAAGACTTATGTTTTTCATACACCCCCCCAACCCCAACCCCAGTGGACTCCCATGCCTGAAACACACTTGCCATGTGTGATCTCCACTGATTGGCTGTTGAACTTGAATTTTCAAAGCACCAATAACTTGCTGACAAACAAGTACTCAATATAATTTGAAAATATCAAGCTTTTATTGTTTTTATAAAATTACAGCATTTACAATTAGGGAGAAAATGTTTACTCTGATCGGCATACATTCATAAAAAATATAATCACTTTTTTAACTTTTACTGTCAACATCCATGTTCACTATAACTACTGACCAACAATTATGTAACCTTCCACATTTACCTCAAAACAATGAGTATGAAAAATATAAGTGTTTGCACTGAAACTTGTAGTTTATGTTCGAGACATGTCAACTAAATGTTATTATCTAAAGCTATTTTCAAAACATGCATTGCTTAATAAAGAAGGTATATTAAACTTTCATTATTTATAAAATGATGCGAGTGACAAAATTAAAAACTGTACATTTCGTTGTTTTTTTTTCTACCGATGTGTAAAATCCATTTTCAAAAGATAGTAAAATATGGTCTTTCGTATTGTAATTTTACAAATGACAAGATTCTAAAAACACTGCACTAATGGAAACAATAACAATCAACTTAGAATAAAAACAATTGGATGGTTTAGTTGTTGTTAAGTGCAAAGCTACACAATGGGCTATCTGTGCACTGCCCACCACAGGTATTGAAACTTGATTTTTTAGCATCATAAACCTACAGACTTACCGCTGAGCCACTGGAAGGCAAAAAATAAGGACAGACACTAGTCCAAAATCTTGCTGCTCATATGAAGAACAAACATTTTTAATTTTATATTTCTTTTAGCAGAAATTCCAATTCCAAAAGACACGGTGATTTATTTCTTAACTGTATGGCATTGCAAGTGACCTTTAACAATATATACTGATTGAAGCATATACAAAGTTAATTGCTACCAATTAATTCTTCCATATGTTAAACAGACAAAATATCTGAAATAATGCACGTTTTTTTTTTTTATTCACCAAAATCCTGTATTTTTGCAAAAGAGAAACACAAGGTACAGTTCATTCCCCTGGTCTTGTCAAAGATAGGATAGATCTCACAGTCCCTCCCCTCATTACTTACAGTACTTTCGTCCCATGCCGAGTAAATACATCACTTACATTTCTAACTTCCAGATAAAATAAACAATTCTACTTTTTCAAAGATTAATATTAGGAGCAATCTACTTTCAACGATTGTTATAACAAAGGCTGATTTCCACTTTAAAACTTATAACCTTGTTAAACAAATTAAAACTGATACCTTAACGATCATGTTCTAATAAACACAAAATAAATGCACAAAAATTAAAATATTTTCAGATATATATATTATTTGATATACTTTGTTTTAGGTGGGCACCATGTGTTTTGTTTAAAGATGTTGCAGTGGTTTTAGTTTCCATATTTAATTTTTTTCTCCACAACAACTGGAATGCTAAGTAAGCCAAAGAAACATCTAAAAATGTCAGAGTTATTTTAAACTGCACCAACAAGCTTCATGAGTCCATCTGTGGTCATAGATTTGGGTCGTTCAATAGGCAGTCCAAGAGCACGATCCCATACAAGTGATGCCATTGTACCAAGTGCTCGGGATACTCCAATAAGTACGGTATAGTAGTGAATCTCTTTCATTCCATAGTACTGAAATGATAGAATATCAACCTTAAACAGTGACAGAATATATTTTTTTTAAAAAGTACAAAAACCTCTCACTATATTCATGCGTATATAAATCTTGAAAACTGCTATGTCTTCCATCTATCTTACTACAGCTGGGCAATTAGTGGAATTTGTTCATTGATTGATTATTGGGCTCATTAATTTATTACGTTCAACTAATCAATTATTATCAAGAATAACTAAAAATAGTAATAATTGGAAAAAAGTAACTTCTATTAGTTGATTATTTTCGTGAATAATAACTGTTGATTAAGCTGAACAACCTTGAATTAACTGAAAATAATACATTTATTTACACTGAAAGATTCCCTTTTTTTTATGTATATAACAATTATACATAAATGTTAACACACTATCTTTATACGCCTACTTTTATGTTGTTTTGCTACAAAGGAGCGAGTGAAGATAACAGGTTAGCTCTAGCACATGTATTATTCTTTACTTCATAGCTTCGTAAACACGCTATGGAATACGTTCAGGACATAGATTTTGCTATCCAAAACAGCATTCTGTAACTGTACATGGTTATTTGACTTGATTTTTTTTTTCTTTACTTAGGAAGCTACATGTTCTCTCAGTTTCCAACTATCAAGTCTTCCTCCTAGTTCTAGCAGTACATTTGTTTAAAACATAATACCAAACATATTTAGCTCACAAGGAATATTTTTGATATCCAATGACATTCATATATTTCATATCAAAAATAAATCCTGGACAAGTTTAATATAAAAGCTAATTTTATTGGTGAATACACAACACTGAAGAAACCGAGTTAACCCTATGCATACAGACCAGGTCAATTTGACCAACGTCGTAACCATCATGTAACTATGAAATTACATGTATCTCCACAAAATATGTCAAGCTTTTAGTGAACATTACAAGTCTGTTGTACACAAAACAATCAGATTTTTTAGCAAAGATTTATCTGTAAATTTATGAAGCCTTTGTCATGGGCATCTGCAGAATTTTTCCACCGGGGGGTGGGCAGGCAAAGTAATGTGAAATTGTAAAGTGAATGAACATGCTGAATGAACAAAGAAAGAATTATGTTTCTATTTTCATCTTAAAATTTAGATAATATAAAATTTGGACTAATAAAGTACAGTTTGATGCTAAATATACTATATACATTGATAATAAAAACGTTTAATGAAGTTGAGAATGTAGCTCTTGTAAAAGGTTGCGAGATGCACACTTTCACCTGTCACAAGTGCACAAGTTTAAAGTCACTTTGCAATTGGTTCTTTTATAACTTACTCGAAGCAATACGCCACTGAGACCATCAACAGTAGGCCAAGGATTCTTTATTTTGCCTAGAGCCAGAATACTCTGAGGAACTATTCTATAAAGATTATTTGCAAGGTTAAACATAGGGTCATCAGGGAGATGCTTTAAGGCAAATTCTCGCAGTGCAGTATACCGTGGATCTGTTCGTCGTAACACATCATGACCAAATCCAGGAACTACCTAAAAAAAAAAACAAGAAAGAAATACAGTATCAAGTTGTTTCAAAATGCCAAAAAATAGGGTTCATGAAATAAAAGGTTTATGTTACTATTTTTAAGGGGTTTGATTATCAGCATATAATATATAATACATGGCATAAGTAACTAAGTATAGATCTCTTTGTTCTAAGTTTAATTAAAGTGTATACATCTAATTAGTCCTCAAATTACTGATTATATCATTAATTTTTCAGTGCACCATATTCACTAAATTTTATTTTTTTTGCCAGTTACACCATTTGCTGTAAACAAAAAACGAATTGGGTGAAATCACTCATCCTCAATGTAAAATACATAGGGGATCCAGGGGTAGTTAGTGGGATTAATTTCAATGTAAATGGTATTTTTGTTTACATTTTTTTTTATATGTTATTAAGATCCCTATAACAAAGAGTCATGATATAACAAGGAATTAGTGTGAAAAATAGTTTAGAAAAATGTGTTAAAAATCCTATAGGGTGTATGGACCCATATCAGTAATTCTAGGATTAAACATTAGTTTCGTCCTCCGATACATAATCATTTAGTTTTTTATAGGCTGAACATTCTATAATTGGATATTATGTGTACAGTGTACCATCAGTTGATGAAGGAAAACAGCAGTGGAGTTGTCTGAATGGATCATGACAAGAAGACCACTATGATGAGTCAGTAGAAGATGACAAGCTAGTTGGGCAGTCAACATCTTGAGGACATTAACATAGAGAAATTGTTCCTTTTGGGACAAGACTCCAAAACTGGAGTAAGTGTTTAGGACCACATCCCACCAGAACAGAGGCATCAGTTGACAGGTTTGGTTGTTGTCAAACACAAAACTACACAATGGGCTACCTTTGCTATACCTGCCCGGGGGGTATGAAAACCTGAATATTTGAGCATTATGTGCCCTCAGATTTACTAATGATGAGCCACTGGGAAGCTCCAAACAGATGCAAGTCTGGGCAAGGTGGGGAGAAAGATGGATGCTAAAGATTATGTGGGATTAAGTGAGCCACTGTGACAGTGAGGGGTGAAAAGAAGGAGAGAGAGAGAGAGAGACAAAATAGAAAACATTGGATCTTTGGATATACTACACAAATCAGCCAGGATCCACTGATGGGGATGTATTTAGGTGTGTTCAAGAGAAACAAGGGAGATGAGAACAGATACTTAAATCAGACAGAATGGAAGGAAAATCAAGGTCTAAGTGACAAACGGGTATTTCCAATTTTCCACAGTAAAGCTGATAGGGTCATGATGTAAAGCCTCCGAAAAGGTCAATCATGGACAGATAGTAAAAAATTTGGGAAAATAAGAAGAGTAGATGGAGAGGAAGGAGATCCCCAAGCTGAAAGAAAATAATCCAATGAGTGAAGATCGTGTAATAAGGTAGCCCAAGATTCATTATAAAACAACTGAAGAAAGAGAAAACAAAAGACGTGCACCTGTGTAGTCCAAGCAACAAAGTGCAAAGGTGGGTTTATCTGATCCCTGTCAGAAAGAGGGAACCAGAAGTAAAAGTAGGCTTGGAAACAGTTGTACAAATTTATCTAAAAATGAGACAGACTCAGCTGAAGAAATAGAAGCAGGTTGTCTGGAATTCTTAAAGAAAAAAAAAACTCATCTGAACAAAACAGTGCCAAGAAAAAAAAATAGTCTTTGTTGCAATGCTAGTGCTCATGAGGTTTACTGTGCATGAAGGATGTATTGGTGGAGGGCTACAGTCTAATGATGATTACATCATAGGCTGGTGCAGTACACATTAATGTGTAAAGAGTGATAGTTTCATTCAAGGTTTGTGGCATGTGCAAAAATCTTTTTGGCAGTGGCTCAAAGTATCAGCTTTTTATTTGATGGAGATGAGTAGTGTTTCTGAAGTAAAAGTATTAATACAGAAATGATACTCGTATATCTAGTACATATCTATAATTGATATCTTATTACAAGTTTCTATAACATTCTTAAAGCAACACCATTAAGATAGAACTAATACTTGTATATCTCTTCACAAATACTTATATTTTTAAGGCCAAATCAATATAAAATTTATATTCGTGCAGGCAGTGCAAAATTTATAATCTATACCTATTTACAAATTTCAATATTCTTAAAAATCAACAGAGAACTGGTATTCCTACATATATCTATAACTGATATCACAGTTACTATCTTAATTATTTGTAATGCTTATTAGAAAATTAGCAATTTGTGTTTAACCGTTTCAAAGTCATGTGGAAATGGACACCTGCTAAATATCTTATGCCTTATTCTAATTTTTTTTTTTTTTACTTCATCCTTTATTGGAAAATACGATCTGTGAAAACTTTTAAATATTTTATTATCACAGGTAAGTTTGGACAAGTTTTAATTTATTCTAACCTGTCCAGATTTTAAGGTCTGCCAAACAAAGTCTTTCAACTGTGCCTCTGTAGCATCAGAACTAAGATCATTATGCAATTCAGTCAGCCATTCAAGTACTTCCTGTAAATAGAACATAAACAAAAAAATTACCTTGCTTTCTCAAAATTTTTAAGTTAAAAACATGACACTGTACCAAACTACTAAACAGAAATTTTACCAAATTTTTAATATATATATACATATTGACTAAAAGAAACATAAATTAACCATGAAAATGTATAGCTGCATAATTTAATTTTTTTTTTTCCTCAACACTCACCTTGTGGCTATTCAAGAAATGAACCGACTGAACACAAGATTAGTCTTAGCTTTGCCAAGACTACTCACTCCTGTGTTTAATAGAGACACTTCTTGAAAAGGTTGTGGGGTGATATGATGAGAAAATAAAAACAATTCCCTTACTGACACTGTTTTATTGTGAACTACACAACCTTAATTTCATAATATACTGGCCAAGTAAAAAGTAAATAATAACAGATTAAAAATTCTTAATGAACTGGTACTATGTTAACTGTACTGCATCTGAAGAAAATTTAAACATTCTGCTTTCATGTTCCAATTTACTTTAAGAAATTATGTTTATGTTATCTATACAAATAGATATTAGTAATGCATTACTCAGACGTAAATGTTTTTTTAATAACATCAGCAAAACAAAGAATCATTTTTGAATAAGTCAAAAGTGATATATATATATATATATATTTTTTTTTTTAAATAATTGCTTCAACGTATGTAAAAGAAAGATAACAAAACTTTAGAAAGAAACAATGTCCTTTAAAAAGAACAAAAAAAGTTATCTGTAAGGTTTAGTATCCTAATAAAAAAACAAACAACATCAGCTTGGCAAGTTCAAGTCTGAATTATCGAGTTGTAAATCTTCCAATCTTTAAATACTATAAAACAAGTCTCAAAACTCCAGGTGTACAAGTGTGGTGTTTTTAAACACACTTAAAATTATGCCCTGGTATTCTATAATGATTGAGTTACAAGAGTAAAGGTTTTTAAAAGCCAGTGAACAAGTTGTGGTATTTTTAAACAGTTGAAGAAATTCTGGTCCCTACGTTTAACTAACTTGCAAATATTAATCTTTAATTACCATCAGTTAAATTAATACTGGACCTTTTGATTAGCTGTTTTGATATATATAATTTTAAAAACAATTAAACCTCCTCAATTTCATTAAACCTAAGTGTATCAGCAAACAGCTGTAACTCCTGTCACAACCCACCAAGATTCAATGAAACTTTGTTGAAATCATAATAGAATAAGGGATAGTCAACAAATTTCTTTGAAATACACAACTTGTTTTGTGATCAAATTTTGTTTATGAAAATAGGAATCAATAAGAAACTTTATTTTAATAACTAGATTTCCGAATGCATTTTCTTTGACTGAACGAAATACACACAAACATTTAATTTGCTGTAACAAAATTTATTCACATTATTCGAAGGTTAATTAATATAGTAAAAATCCCAAACCTGGCTGCCTAACCCGTGAAGAGGTCCAGCAAGACCATTTATACCTGCTGCAAATGATATGTATGGATCAGAGAGGGCACTAGCAACAAGATGTACTGTATGAGCACTAACATTTCCTCCTTCATGGTCACTTAAGGGAATAAAAAATAAAACAATTGGGCTTTTTAAATACTAAACTCTTGAAATGCATCGAGTAAAAATTTTTCAGATTAAGAAATTAAACCCCAAAGAAGAATAAGTTGTGCGTGACATATTTAAGAGCAGACTTTCAAAGCAAGTACATGGGAATGTTTTTTTAACAAAGAAAAGTTTTAACACAAGTCTTTTATTAATAAT